GGAGCCACATGGAGGTGGTCGGTCCAGCTGGCCACCTTATCTTGGTGTGGGCTGGGATGGGAATCCCTTCCTGCTGCGTGGTGCCAGCTGTGGGAAGCCCAGGGTGGGGCACGGTGCAGGACTGGCACCTCTCAGGGTCACCGTGGGCTGCTGTGGCCAGCAATGCTTCCCGGTGCCCTTGTCGAGGTGACCCGGCTCCCCCGACTCTCCTGGACGCGATTGTGGACCAGAACTGCCCAGGTACCCCATCAGCATGGGGACACAGACCTGGGACCACTGCCACCCACCCTGGTGCCCTTGCCCGCCCCAGTACCCACCTCAGTCCCGGTGCCTTCCCCAGTGCCCCTGCCCATCCCAGTGTCCTTCCCAGTGCATCCTGCCTGACCTAATGTCCTTCCCAGTGCTCTCACCAGTATCCATGCCCACCCCTGTGACCTTTTCCCACCCTGGTACGCACCCCAGTGTTCTTCCCAGTGCCCTCTATCCACTCTGGTGTCCACCCTGGTACCCATCCCATTGTCCCTGCCCATCTGAGTGCCCTTTGTGGTGCCCCTGCCCACCCCAGGGACCCCTGCCTGCCCTGGTGCCCTCCCCAGTGTCCCTGTCATCCCCATTGCCCCTTATGCTCCCCAGTGCCCTCATTGGTGACCCTGCACACCCTGGTGCCCCCTGCTCTCCCCAGCACCTGCCCCGGTGCCATCCCCCCACTGTGCCATCCCACCTGCCCGCCCACGTGTCCGCGGCGCAGTTTGGGGATGTTGGTGTGGGTGTCGTTCAGCAGTGTCAGGTTGGCTGTTGGCACCCTCAGCTGGTTGTTGAACCTCTTGAGGAGCTGCCAGGGCAGGTCGTTGTGCCTGGGCAGGGCAGGGATGGGCATTGAGGGGAAGCCTGGCCCTCTGCCCTCCTGCTGCCCAGCTTCCTGGCTGGCTGCACACACAGTCCCTGCATCTGGCTGTCATTCCATTCATCCATCCATCCACCCATCCTTCCATCCATCCATCCATCTATCCATCTTCTATCCGTTATCCATCCATCCATCATCCTTCCTGCCATCTATCCACTCATCTGACCCCTCTGCCAAAAGCCACCCAAGCAGCTCCAAACAGGAGCCAGCCCATGTGGGGACAGCCCCACATAGGACCTCCTGGAGGACCCCCCTGTGCACCCCTCCAAGCCTCCATCCCCATCCCCCACAAGCCCTTGCACCCAGGGAGCCAGCACAGCATCCCTCAGGCAGGACATTACCACCACCATCTCCTCTGTGGGATGTCACCACTGCAGGGACATCCTGCCACCCTTATCCTGCACCCAGCAGTGCCACTGGGGAAGTGCTGGGGGGGGGGGCAAGGCCCACAAACTGGCTCCCACTTCTCCCCCCTGCATCACAGTCCCACACCCCTGGCTCCCCCTGCCCTGCTCCCTCTTCCAGTGACTGCTGTGGCACAGCACTGGTGCCACAGGGGGTTCCTGTGGGGGATTGGAACCTCCTGAGAACAGACTGGGGACATCCCTTAAGACATAACTCCACAGGACTGACTCACTTGCCCCAAGCAGGGACTTCCCGCGGGGAAGCCTGACTCCAACTTCCTGGCACCCTGCCCACTCCTGCTGGGCTGCACTGCCCTGGGGATCCCCTCAGCTGCACAGATGGTCCCATGGAATCCCCTGGGAAAGCTGTCCCCTCTCTCTGCACAGCCCTGGGGTGCTCGGCACGAGGATCCCTTGGAAAAGCTGCCCTGCCTGGCCCCAGGATGCTGAGCATGGAAATTCCCTGGGAAAGCTGTCCCCTGTCCCTGCACACCCCAGGGTGCCCAGCACAGGGATCCCCTGGGAAAATTGTTCCCTGTCTCTGCACAGGCCCGAGGTGCCCAGCACAGGAATCCCCCATCGGCCTGTCCCAGTAGGGTTTCCCAGCTGGGTTTTTCCCAGAGTGCTGGAGCAGCCGGGCACCCTGAGGCCCAGACGACCTTTGCTCACCCGTCGATGACTGGCGTGGTGGTCATGATGCGCTCAGCCTCCTCCCGGTACTGCTGCCCAGCACAGGGCAGTGCCAGCGCCAGTGCCAGTGCCAGCACCCACACACTCCTGTCTGGCATCTTCTCCTGCTGGATGCTGCTGAGGAAAAGGGATGACCTGCCACCACCGTGTGAGCACATGCACCAGGATGGCTGCCCCGCTCCTGCCGTCCCCTCCCGCCGTCAATGAATAACCAGGAGCACGGCGTCGCCCCTCCCTGGGTGCCCTGTGCCCGCCTGGCAGTGCCAGGGCTCCATGGCCACAGCCTCCCTCAGCCCAGTCCCGGTGGCTGTGCCGTGCCGGGGCCTCTCTGCTGAGCGGCGGTGACGCTCCCAGCCCCTCTAATAAAGCCCAGATTTTTTGTGGTTGGGAAAGTGCCAGGCCCATCCCCGCCTTTGCCTCCCCAGCACTGGCATCCATGGGCACCCCAAGCCTAGCACTGGCACCCCAGGCACCCCCGGAACCCCTGTCCCCACTCACCCTGGCCCTGGGACGCTCAGGCAGCTGCTGTCTGCGACGGCTCTGAATTATGTTTTCCAGCTTGCGTGCGGCGGCAGGGCTGGGATGGGCTCCAGCCACCCCAGAGCCACCCCCCACCACGGCGCCGGAGCCGCCACATGCCGGGGGCAGCAGTCGGGGTGGCACAGCCATGGTGTGGAGCTGCTGATGGTCCTTCACGCGTGCTGGGATCCCCCACCCTGAAGCATCCTGAGGGGAAACTGAGGCACCGTTGTCTGTGGGGGCTGAGCATCCCAGCTGGTTCTGGCACGGGGGCTGTGGTGTCCTTCCCAGCAAGGCCTTGGTGGGGCTGCTGGGAATGGCAAGGAGCCACATGGAGGTGGTCGGTCCAGCTGGCCACCTTATCTTGGTGTGGGCTGGGATGGGAATCCCTTCCTGCTGCGTGGTGCCAGCTGTGGGAAGCCCAGGGTGGGGCACGGTGCAGGACTGGCACCTCTCAGGGTCACCGTGGGCTGCTGTGGCCAGCAATGCTTCCCGGTGCCCTTGTCGAGGTGACCCGGCTCCCCCGACTCTCCTGGACGCGATTGTGGACCAGAACTGCCCAGGTACCCCATCAGCATGGGGACACAGACCTGGGACCACTGCCACCCACCCTGGTGCCCTTGCCCGCCCCAGTACCCACC